ATTCCTCCTCATAGAGCCCAGCCTCCCGGATAATCTGTTCTGCATACAGGTTGAAAAGGTATGGAGATAGGACACATCCCTGGTGCATGCCCATCCCAATTTTGAACCATGCAGTGTTTCCTTGCTCTGTTCTGACAACTGCCTCTTGGTCCACATATAGGTTTCTCATTAGCAAGATCAAGTGTTCTGGGATTCCCATTCTTCTGAGAGTCAGCCACAGTTTGTTATGATCCATACAGTCAAATGCCTTTGCATAGTCAATGAAACACAGATATACATTCCTCTGGTATTCTCTGCTTTCGGCCAAGATCCATCTAACATTAGCTACAATATCCCTAGTACCACCACCCCTTCTAAACCCAGCCTGGACTTCTGGCAGTTCTCTGCTGATGTATTGTTCCAGTCCTTTTTGGATAATCTTCAGTAGAATCTTGCTTGCATGTGAAATTAATGAGATTGTTCTATAAATAAATACCACAATGTAGCAAAAAGCCAGACACAAAAGGATACATTGTATAGTTCTAGTTTTAGAAAATATTCAGGTAGTAATTTCATAGATAGAAAGCTGGCTTGTGGTAGTAGGCAGGGAGGTGGGAGATTGAGGGAGACAGGGACTGTTTAAGTTCATGGGGGCTGTTCTTATGCTTTGGAACTAGACAGAGGTGGTAGTTGCACAACACTGTGAAGTTACTAACTTCTCTTCAATTTACATTTTAAAATGGCTAATTTTACTTATATAAATTATATTATAATTAAAATAGAAAAAGCTTTGCAGAAATATGAAACTGAAAACAATTACAATAATAAGAACTTTTAAACGTTTCAAAATGTGACAGCTAAAAGACAATAATGGACTCTCACTTGACAAAAGAGTCCCTTGTCATTTAAAAAAATAAGTTAGAAGAAAAAACCTGCTTAATTTATAAATGCTTATTAGTTATAATAAAAGGCTACTGTAGTCTGTTTTTTGCATCTGTTTTGCATCTGTCTGGGGCAGTCAAATTAAAAAAATGACAGCAGCTGGTACCTCCCAAGCCTCTAGACTGCTGGTTCAGTCCTGGCTACAACTGGGGCGGCCTATGAGGAGCAGTGTTCACAGTGAGGGCTCAGCTCACATGCGGAGGGCTGTCTGCTTCTGTGCCCTCCCCTGGGTAGCAGTGAGCTGAACATCTTCCTGAAATCTCACCATGAAAAGCACTGACAGACCAGAGTTAGTTCATCACCTACCCTCACATCCGCCTCATGTGCTATGTCATAACCCTCATATGAATCCACTTCCAACTGGCTATGAAGAGGACTAAATAACTAGAACCTGGACCACTACTGGGAACCACCACCTTGGGAATAGCTGGATCATTACTCTCCATGTGGACCATGTCCCCATGCACAGGGGGACCTTAAGGTCATCTCCATATGTATAAACTGAGCTTCTATTCCTTTGTGTGTGGCAGGAGACGGCTTAAATAAAGATTAAGCAAGTTATGAAACAAATATCTGAAATCAAATTTACAGGGAGGAGTTGGGAAAGAGCAATTTACCTTGTATTGAAATTAATGTTATAGAGCCAACATGATGTTCTTACATGCCGTCAGACTGCAACTCATAGTGACTTTACGCACAACAGCTCTGAACCTCGCCATATCCTGAGACAATCTCACTGCCTTAGACTCATTTATCACTACCACCTCAGTTACTGTCAATTCTATCATTCATCTTATCTAGGGTCTTCCTCTGCTGCAAGGACCCTCCGCCCTTTGAAGCATGATATCCTTCTCCAAGGTCTGGTGCCTTCTGGCCATATGCTGAAAGTATGTATGTCAGAGCTGCAAAATCCTTGCCTTCAAGGAATAGCTTGATTTCACCCTCTCCTGACAGATCTGTTTGTTTTCTTGGCAGTCCATGGTATGTTCAAGACTCTTCTCCAGCATCACAACTCAAAGGCATCAATTCTTCTTCCGTCATTCTAAATCACTGTCCAGCTCTCTGATGCTTACCATGTAACTGAGAAAACCATTACCTCAATCATATGCACCTTAGTCTGTAGGCTGACATCGTTGCTCTTTAACACTCTGGAGAAGTCCCTGACAATAGATTTTCCCAATGCAATTTTTCTTTTGATTGCCTGACTGCTGTTGCCTAGAGTGTTATTATAGAGCTGTGCAAGCTGAGGTTGTTTACAACCTCAATCTCTTCTCCACCTATCATGGTGCTGTCAATTGGCCCCGTGGTGAGAATCTTTGTTTTCTTGATGTTGTGCTTTAATGAACGATTGAATAAAAGTACATGGGAGGATATGGCCTACTCTTCTGCGAAGCATCTGGTGATGTCCAACCACTGCAATGCAGCTTCTTACCACTAGGCCACCAGTGTTCTCTTCATTCAAACCATAATAAAAAAATTTTCAGAATGTAGAAATTTGGGGAGTCAGACCGATCACAGTCTAACAAAATATAAAATAATAATTTAAGAGGAGGAAAAAAAGTCAAAACACTAAAAAAAAAAAAAACACCCAACACCTAATCTGGGAATTTAATTATTACTAAATAAACTCATGGATAATAGAAAAGATTAAAAATACTTACTTAATACAAATTTATGTTGAGTTTTTTTAAAAAATAAAAAACCCCCCAACCCACAATGAAAAAGAAGTTGTTATTGTTATGTGTCATTGCTTTGCACTGACCCATAGCAGACTCTACAGTAGTTTTCAGAGGCAGTAAATAGCCTGTGAAGGAGAAAACTGCCTACCTTTCTTCCACAGTGCAGTTTCCTACCACTAGAACACCAGAACTCCCTTTAAAAAACCCACCACACCACATTTATACACATAACCAACAAAGTAGTTGTGAATGGTCCTTCAAAACTGGTCAATCATGTGCAGGACAGAAAATGATCCCAGAAAAATCTATAAATACTAGAAAGGTTAAGAAGCTACTAGCTAAGAGAGTGCTACAGCTCTTACTACTTGAAAAAGATCCCTCAACAGAGCATCCATAAGAATTCTGCAGTGGACCTGTTGGCTAGCAGTGGGGCAGCTTGACTTTCAGCAATCTTCAGGACAACAGAAAGGCATTCTGTCTGCTCCTGCACCCTCCTCACAATCACTGGTAGGTCTGAGTCCAGGCCATCACGGTGACTACTGACAGGCCATCTCAGAGGGTCTCTCACACCGTTACTGGCCCGCTAGTTCACTGAACACAATATCATGTTCCACTAACAGATCCTTTTGGACGACACAGGCAAAAAGAGAGAGTGGGCCAATGCTCTGCTGCACTCCATAGGTTTTCAATGGGAAATTTTTGCAAGTACATAGCCAGGTGGTTTTGTTTGGGGGATTTCCCCCCAATCTGTGTTATTCTTCAAGAGTTACTGAAACTGGTCTATTATGATTAATGGCATAGCTGAAAATATCATAGCTTCATACAAGCCAACACCAAGTATGATAGATGGTGGTGCAATATTGTTGAGTGCCATGAGTTGTCACCAACCCATAGTGATCCTCCAGAGGTTATCAAAGGCAGTATAATTGCACAGGAGACTTTACATCTTTCTCCAATGGAGCAGCTAATGGACTGAACTGTATGCCTTCAAGTTGGCAGTGAAACTTCTCACCACTAGGCCCCTATGTTGTTGCTGTTAGGTGTCATCAAGTGCTACTCATAGCAACCCTATAAACAACAGATGTGAACCATGTCCTATTCTGTGCCAACCTCACAATCTCTGACACACTCAAGCCCACTGCTGCAGTCATTGTGTCACTCCACCTGGATGAGGTCTTCCTCTCCTTCATTGTCCCTCTACCTGTCCATGCACAATATCCTACACCGAGTACCTTTGGAGAATGCAGAGTATTCTCATCGTTGTGAAAACTAATACAGGGATTTAAGCACTATACAACTGATGTGGAAATATTTCTTTTTACAATAGCATTTTAGTTGACAACTGAGGAAAAAAATTATAAAACTGATTATTCCACACCATTAAAATAATAATCAATATAGGTAATGATTGATAATCACTGCCAAAATCAAAGATGGTAACTAGACCATACCAGTTATGAAATATATGTAAAAAAAAAGTCCTACCAAATACACACCCATGTTTATTACTCCATTATTCACAATAGCAAAGAGACAGAAATAATTCAGGTGCTCATCAAATGAATAGAAAGAAAAACTATGGTATAGTCACACAATGGAATACTACGCAGTACTGAAAAAAGAATTCATGAAATATTACACAACATGAGTGCTCCTGGAGGCCATTATGCTGAAATATCTGAGTCACAAAAAAGAATAATACTGTGTAACACCACCGTTATAAAACAAGTCTGTCATGGGAGTTGGGGGAAACTAAAAAAAGGGGGTAAAAACCAAACACAACATTAGAACAGATGGAAGGAATTAACAGTTTAAAAGGAATGCATGATTAGGGACTCTTTGTATGACAACAGTCCAGAAGAAGAGGTGCATAGCCAAGAGAACTGGGGGAGGGTTGGGATGTGAGGAAATCATTTAACAATGCATTAAGTTTTTTAAAAAAATAGTGAAGGGCCAGTAGAGAGGAAAATGTGCTACAATGGATGAACACGTATCTAACTTTTCTGTAAGCTTTTGTTAAAATCACAATAAAAGAAAGGAATATGTGATTATGAATTACATGCATGATAACAATCCAGAAAGTTAGGTGTATTGCAAAGTGGACTGGAGGGAAGAGAAAACAGGGCAACAATGAATGAATGAAAATCCAACTTTTCTGTAAACTTTTGTTAAAGTCACAATAAAAAAAAATAATCTTACCAAAACATATCAAGCTTTGAAAATCTACTAAAGTATTGTAGGAGATAAGTTAATATGACACCAAGGGATGAAATCAGCAAAATTCACAATGGAAGACACTCCTTAAGATTAAAAAACAAAAAAAACCCATTTTTTCCCATCCATAAACAACAACTAAGTGCAAAGAACAAGAGGAGGTGAGGAATTTATCTACTAAAAAAACTTAAGGAATATATTATGATATGCAAAGTGCAGATCATGACTGGACTAAAATTTGAGCAAAATAAATGCAATAAAAATAAATGATGGATTAGAGAAATCTGAGCTGTCACTTTTCTCCAAGTATGATAATAAATTTTTATCTGCTTTAAAAAAAAGATGATTAAAACCTGAGGTTTGTTTCAAACTAATTCAGTGTTCCTAGACTGAAAGAGAGTAGGACTACACATTTTTGGGGTAGGATTATAAATTAAACACAAGCTACAAAAGACGATTATTAACACCAGATGATAAGTACATAGGTGTCACTACATTAACCTACTCTGAAATACTTACTAGACGAAGAGAGTTTATCATTTCAGTTACAAACTAATTCCTCCCTTACATTGTTATCTCTGTCTACCCCTTCTGGTCAATGGTCTAAACTTTTGGAAAGTTATTTTCTCTGAATGACCTTATTGATTGATTAGTTCAGTGTTAGGCAAGCTACTTTACCCCAGAGTCTGTTTCTACACTGCCCTGAAGCCAAGAAGAATTTTGACATTTTTAAAATGTCAAAATTATCACACAAAAACATAAAATATGAAGAGATCATATGTATACCATAAAGGTTAACATACATAAAATTCAATTAGGTATGAAAAGCTATCTCTCATACATATGGAGAAGCTCCTATTCTTTTACTGTCAAAAGAAGATTATCAAACCAGCTGTTAATCAATATTAAACCAATTTATTAAATCACGATTAAACTAGTAATAATTCTGAATGCCAGAAGCCCAGCAATCTAAGCCTAAGAATTTACTACTACTCAGGAAAATAGAAGTTCCTACAGACCTTAAAAGAGTAATGTAAAACTCATGAGATTTCACTACAAGGTACCTCTTTTAGATTAAGGTATTTTTTTTGTGTGTGTTTTTGTGTGCATGGGTGTTAATTCACATTTAAGTTCTAAATTAAAGGAAACACTACAAAAGGATAAACTAAAGAACAGTAAGCCTATCCTTTTCCTTGTTTTTCACCAGAATCTGAAAAAAATCATTGTCCAGCTGAGCATATAGATGATGGCCTCTTCCGCTGAAGTAAATCAACTCTATCAGACCCAGAAGGTCAAAGACTTAAAGAATCTTAGAATAGGGAGCATTTATCAGATAATCTATTCTAAACTCCTTAATTTACAGATGAAGGAGATGAAATGACTTTCATAGAGCTAAAAACTGTAAAAAAGAACATAGAAAAGCATTCAGGAAAAGAACAAAGCTTTCCTAATACACATAAAACAGACAACTTGGCTGGTTAAACTCACGTCTATTTTAAGCCTAGTCCCTGAGAAATAGGGATTGCATAATACTCTTCAACCAAGAACCAACCAACAGGAGCTCCTAATTTTGGTTTCCACAGCCACAGAAACTGACCTTGATCCCTCGCCACAGAACTACAGTTAATCATCAAGCCCCATGAGACACTAGCCTATGTTCCCATCCTGTAACTAAGGTTAAAATGGATCTCCCCCTAAATTTTTTTCTGAAACATTTGGCAACTTCTACTCATAAATGTTTTGATTAGGGAGTATATATGCTACTGCCTATCAGAATGCTGACGCTGAAAAAGAACAGAAAATAGGTAGAAATAATCACTCTTTTGTGTATTCAATTGGTTAACTCAAGTCTCCTTCAATAGTCACAGATTTTTTTTTTACTTTATGAGTAACACTACCAAGTATCTATGTAATAAGACTATATTTTTGTAATTCTGAGGTGTTAACAGTAATAATCCTCTGCCTGGATTAGTCTTGCTTTGTTAAAATTTTGTGAATTAAATAAATTTTTAAACTATGCTTTCCGTTAACCTGGCTATGAAAATGGAAAGTATTTTCCAAAAAAGAATGCTAGTCATTTCTGGTTTTACCAAGGTTAACAGTTGTAGTATATTCACACATGGAATACTACACTGCACTGAAAAACAAAGCGCTCATGCAATATTACTCAAAATGGGTGACCCCTGAGGACATTTATGCTGAGTGAAATATCTCAGTCACAAAAGGATAAACTCTGTACAGTGCTGTAGAATGGGACTGACATCAGGGTTAGGGTAAGAAGGAGAAAAACTGGATGAATTATGCATACTGCATTGAAACGGATGAGGGAGAGAACAGTTGAAAAGCAATATATTATAGGGCATTATGATTATCTTGAAGAGTCTGCAATGAAGGTTGCAGAGTGCAGTATACTCAGGGTGTGTGTGTGGGGGGACGACTGTATACCAATGAAAGAATTTTTCTTTTACTTTTCAAAGAGAAGAGCAAACGGGGGGGGGGGGGAGTGCAACAATGAATTAATGGAAATCCAGTTATCTCTGTAAATTTTCATTGAAATTAATAATAAGAATAAAAAAATATTACCTTGAAGATCTCCAATCATCTCAGAATCACGGCCTCGGTCTCTTCGTTCAGCTTCCAGTACAGCTTGCAACTGGTAATAATCTTTGTCCATTTGGGTCTTGGAATTCTCTAAGATTCTATTTCTTTCCTGTAATTCTCTGTTCAGGGACTCTAGCTGAGTAATTGACTTGCTCATTTCTGTGTGACTCTTCCTTAATCTTACAGCTGTGTCTGATTCTGTTCTAAGTAAGTCATTTGCTTCTTCTAGCTATTTAAAAAAGATAAATGAGAAAATGGGTTATTATAAAAATATAATCAAACTTATTTCAACGGCAATAAAAATAATGAACCTTCATCTAAAAAACTTACCTGCTTTTGTAATTGTGTCAACTTCTCATTTGCAAGCTGTGAGTTCTGACTTACTTTCTTTAAATCTTCCAACTGATCTTTTAATGTAGAAACTAGAACATAAAAAGATGTTTAAAGTACAAAGTTCTCATAGAGTAAACATGAAAGTGCCTTTTTAAATGATGAGATTTAGTCTTAGACCATTAGTAGTGTGGTGCATTAGGTTTTACTCCTGTTTCTAAATCCAGATTCTATCTTGGAAGTTACTTACATACATTATACTATAGAGTGAAAACACCAATTGTTTTCTATGGTTTTTTTAAAAAATTCTGTTAAAGAGGTCAATCTACTCCTGTACCAGTCAGATCCGAGTTGACGGTACACACACACTCTCTCTAATTTTCTAAAAAGGAAAAAAAAAAAAAGGTCAATCTTAGCAAGGTCTGGTAGCCTAGTGGCAAGAAGCTACACTGCAATCCCAGAGGTACGTGGTTTGTATGCACCAGATGCTCTGCTGGAGAAGGTAGGGATCATCTCCTCCTGTACCAGAAGTCAGATCCAATTTGATGGTATACACACACACACACACACACACACACACATAATTTAAAAATAAATAAAAATTTTTAAAAAGGTCAATCTATCAGTGCAATATAAAGCTAGTTTTAATATTATACCCACTCTTCTCTTGTTGACAATCTCATTACCTGGTATTTTGTATTTAAAATAATAGTAAAAAAAAAAAACCCACCCCCCACCAATTGATTATTTTGTAAATTAATGTTGGCTGGGATGGTTAATTTTATGTGCCAATTTGGCAGGTTCATGATTCTCCGTGGTCTGGCAGTTACATGATGATGGAAGTCATCCTCCCCTGATACGATATGGTTGTCCTCTATTTTTTCCTGACAACTTGGTCTTCAGCACGGCCTTTGGGTTCGCAGTATAAGTCTCAACTGACTATATCCACAAAGCTCTTATTCTACTAGATTAGCTCTTAAAAGTGGTTGCTTGCTAGAATCTTATAAAAATACTGATGCCCAGGTCACCGGTTTGTATCAATTAAAAAAAAAAGTCTAGGACTTGAGCATCAGTGTACTGTGAAATTTTCTAGGAGATTCATATACACACAAAGTTCAGAATCATAACTATAGTCAAAATGCTATTTATTATTGATTTATTACAAATTTATCTTAGGCTCTAGGTATTTAGCCATAGGGTATGTTAGTATCTGGGCTTCATAAACAGGTGTTGAACTTTAGACAATCTCAACGCAAAGTCTTCAAGGTCAGTTACTGCCAGGGAAAAATTAGAAAGTTTTTCAAAAGAAGCAACAACTCACCTTCATTTTCTACATTCCTCCTCTTTTCATTTTCCTGTTCAGCTTTTCTTTGATACTCACTCACTCTATGCTGGAGTAACATTTTTTCTTTTTCTATTTGAGATACAGTAGATTCTAGATTTCTCCTTTGATTCCCCTGAAATTAAATGACAAAAGCTATCACAGCAATCAATATTATCATTTATTTGGGAGATGTCCAACCAAGTTTATTTTGCAGATGAGGACCAGAGATGGCCTTTTTTTTGGTTTGAAAATCCAGTGGTACTTCCTGACAATGAATTTTTTATCAGTTTAGTAATAGAATTAATGTGCCTTATAAGAGTGAGAATTCCCTTATTTGAATTAAATATGAATAATCTTCAAAGATTTTTATAATGCACAATTTAAAAACCAAAATCTTACGAATCTTACTTTTAAAAGTGATCATTCTCTAAATTACAATAATTAAATAAAACCAAAAAAAAATTTTTTTAAACCAAAAAAATTTTAAAATTAAAATAAAGTGAAACTTTAAAAATAAGCTTATGAGTTCAAGATCATGGCATTACAACACACTATTTAAACTGTAGTTTTATTTATAATCCTAAACTATAAAATATTAAAGATAATAATTATATATTTGATTAGTGATACAATGCTAAAACAGGACTGAATGGTTACTATGCATCTGCCTTCCTGAATTCTGTTCCAATAAATCCTGAGAAGTTTTACGTATTTATCTACCAATATGTATAAAAAATAATCAGAGAGAAACTTATTTTAGGAGTTCCTGTGGTATAATGGTTAAGAAGCTGTGCTGCCAACACTAAGAATACACAGTTAGAATCCACCAGCTCATCCGTGGGAGAATAAAGGGCATTCTACTTGCATGTGATTTAAAGCCTCTGAAAACTTACTAAAGGGTCAACTACTGAGTAGGTTCTGACTCAATGCCACACAACAACAAAAACAATAGCTATTTTAGAAGAAGAAACTGCAGGAGAGAAGAACGTTAAAGGAAATTTTAATAAATTAAAAATTTCTCCTTCTGAGTTACCACTACCAACATAACTATCATTTCACATTTCTATTTTTTGTGAAAATAAACATATCACATACATATTAACATTTTCCCCATGTATAATTCAATATGTATAGTTCAATGACATTGGTAACATTCTTTGGATTCTATCTCCACCCATGATGCTTTATCACCATTAAATGAAATTGTCCCCTATCCATCTCTGTGTTTTAGTCACTGTTGTTAATCTGATCTCAAACAGATAAATTCTTTACAAGAGTCCAATGCTCACATGAACATTCTCTGCTAGTTGAGCTAAAGTTTCATTTTAAAAGGTGACTTCATGGAGGTTTCAGCTCAAGGTATAAAGATTATTATCAGAGGGAAAAATATCTGGAGGTTCCCCTAGTCTCAGTAGGTCAGGTTTCTGTAATAATTTGGAATCCTGTTCTAGATTTTTCCTGTTTCTTTAGATCTAGCTATTGGGTTCTTGATCAAAACATTTAGTAATAGTGATATTTTGTTTATCTCAAGGCTCTACTTCAAGAAAATCTTTCATGTTTTTTTAACTTTCACATCTTTAAGTATTAAAGTAAAATAAAAGATCTAGTAACATTTTATACTGATCCTCAAACTTTTTTCCCATTCTAATACTGGAAACATCAGCACCATGACGTGGAGAAATAGCTAAGTAAAGTTTATCAACAGTTCATTCCTTTTGAGTAGGAATCCTACTGCTGAGTAGGAGTCCACAGTGCAGATAAAATAAAAATTTCCTCCAAGCACTTACCTATTATTGACATGTTGGTTGTTTCCAGCTTAGAAGAATTACCAATGCCACTGCTGTGAATAACAGCATCCTAGCAATCCTGTCCTATCCTCAAGCTTTTGAAAGGAGTATTTTTTTTTTTTTCAATTTGAAGGTAAGTGCCCAAGAATGTAATTGTTAGGTCAAATGGTGGTTGCATGGTTAGTTTTTGTTATTTAAAAGTTTAAAAGAAACTTTCAGTTACACTGTTTCCCAGAATGGGTGTATCACTTTACATTCTCACTAGCAATATGGGAATAATTCAGGTTTGTCCACATCCTCAATACCATTCAGTATTATTTTAAATTTTACTTATTCTAATAGTCATATGTAAGGAGCTCTGGAAGTCGGGGCCTTAGCATCTTGTACTATTTAAAAAGCTGCATGTTTCCAGCAGGCAGGTCCACTGGGAGACAGACTGGCAGGCTCCTGTTACAATGTGCATCTTTGTAAACTTGATGTATCACTGCAATAGGTCAGAACCAACTCATGACAGCAAAAACAACCAGATTGTGCTTTCATTAAATGTACATTTCCTAATGGCTAGTGATTCAATATGACATGTTTATGTCTGCCTTTGGGCTGTTTACTAATCATATTATTTAATGTTGCATTTTCAAGGTTCTTGGAAGATCCTATATTTGAGCCCTTGGTCAGATATGGGCTTTATAAATATTTTTCCCCAATCTATAGCCTCTTTTCATCCTCTTCATACGACTTTTGCAGGTGAAAAGTACATTTTTCAGTCCTACTTATTTTCCTTTTAAGGACTGCATTTCTGATGTCATGTTCCCTTCTTTTTTCCTAAAAGTGTTTTATTTCCATGTTTCACCTTCAAATCTATGACCCACTTTGAATTATTTGTCTATAAGGATGACGTTCACTTCCCCCCATGGATTATTTGTTAGAACACTGCTTCCTTGACTAAATATTTGTCAAAAATTTAGGTGGCCATTATTATGTGGGGGCAACAATGAAAGTTATACAAAGTGTTTAGGTCTTTTGTTCATAGGGTCCTTATGAGTTGTTTATGGCTCAACAGCACTTAACAATAATTCTGTCCTATTTGTCTATTTCTTAGTCAATATTAGTTTTAATTGTATAAGCCTTAAAATTGAGTGTTTCCTTCTATTTTTTCTTCTTTAAAAATTATTTTAGATGTTTTAATTATTTTGACTGATCATATACATTTTTTAATAATCTTGTCTGTATCAAGAACAAAAAAATCTTGCTACAATTTTGATAAGAACATGGTTGTTATTAGGTACCACTGAGTGGACTATGATTCACAGTAACCTGATGAATGACAGAAAGACCTGAAACTTCCTTGTCCTGTGCCGCCATCACCATTACACTCTGTCCATCAATCTCACGAAAGGTCTCCCTCTCTTTAATCTTCCACTTTTCCCGGTAGGTGGTCTTTTTCTAAGAAATGGCTCGTCCTGACAATATGCTCGAAGTATGGGAGATGAAACATCACCATCCTTGCTACTGACGAACACCTTCTTGGTTGTACTTCCTCCGAGTCAGACTTGTTCTTGGCAGTCCTCCAACAGTAGGTATTGACTCTTCTGCCACCTTCATTCACTTTCTAACTTAACACATAAATTGTGCACTTAACTGTTAACATTTCAAAGGCTAAGTAGTTGTTCTGAGCAATTACAAATATTACTGTATTTAAAACATTAGCTTTCACATAATCAACAGATTTTTATTATCCTGATCTTGCGTCCAGTGATCTTACTGAGTTTTTCTGGTACATTTCCTCTGTGTTTCAAAGTAAATCATCATGACAGCTAGCCACACAGAGGCAATTTGATTTCATGCTTTGTAATCTGTACATATTTTGCTTCCCCCGCCCCCCTTGTCTTACTGTCTTGTTTGTACTAGTTGTAGTTAAATTAATAGCAGTGAGAATGAATAACCTTCTTTTGCTTTTAATTTTTGAAGGTAAGCATTTAATCTTTCACCATTATGACAAAGTAAGTCACAGGCCTTGTGTAGGATGTTTTTTATCAAGTAGAGCTTTTTTTGAGAATTTTTAATTAATAATGGGTACTGAATTTTTACCTAAAGTTTTTTTTCGGCATAAATTTCTAAGATGATATAATCCTTCTTCTTTAACTTATTAATATGGAGAATTATTTCTGGAATAAACTTGTCGTTATTGTTGTTATGTGCCGTCGAGTCGCCTGCGACTCATAGCGACCCTATGTACAACAGCCCTAAACTCCGCTCTGTCCT